AGACCGAAAGGGCATAACCCAACAAAACAAACCAATATCGTTAGCTGGCTGCGTGGTGTAGTGGTAAGCGCACTAACCTCGCATTAGAATGACACGGGGTTCGAATCCCATCGCCGGCTGATGCTTTTGGCGTGTTGTCCCAGTAAACATGCCGACGTCGGCGACTGGGGGGCTCGAATCCCGCCGCCGGTTGATATTTTTGGCGCGTTGTCCCAATAAACATGCCGACGTCGGCCCCGTCGGTCCAACGACAAACGATCTCGTCAACCTCGGCAAACGATCTCGGCCCGACGTCGGCTCGACGTCGGCTGGACTTCGGCTGGACGTCGGAACATGCGGGCATATCCGACGTCCAGCCGATGTCGGGCCGAGGTTGAACCGACGATGGGCCGACGTCGGGCCGAGCCTCGGCCCGACGTCGGGCCGACGTCGGCATGTTTACTGGGTAATTCCCCCTATGTATTTAAAACGAGATTATCAAACCTGAATTATGTGAAAAATGTTCTCATATTTATTTCATATGACATGCGGAAGAATAATTCATAACAACAACGATTTCGATTGTTGAAAAAACAACAATTTTTCAGGTTTGTGGTATTTCCCTAGATTTCGTGTGAAATCCATATATCCCTAGATCTTTGCTGATTTCCATAGAAAAGGGAAATTTCCCTAGCAGCGGTAACCCTGGTGATACGTATATCTGGAAGTTGGAAAATTATGAATCATATTTCTTTGCATTGCTATCATCAGTGTCCGTTGTTAGTCTGACAAATATAAAGATACTGTAAATATGACGTCACAAGACCTCAAGGAATGACCTCTTCTTGTGTTGTCATTTGCAATGTCAATACTTTTTATTAAATTCCAATAAATATTTATTGGTCCATTCAACTGGTAACGAAGAAAGTTCAAAGTTTTTTTGTGAGTTCATAACCTAGTAAAGAAGGTACACCAATTAGTGACTCTGGATTGTAATTACGTCATTGATAAAATTAACAAAAAAACATTATCATGAGTAGTGCAAAAAATAAGGAAGTATCGCGTGTATATCACACCACGGTGAGATTTACATAATGCATCGCACTGTAGTGTAAACCTCACCCGGGTGTGATTTACACAATACACTACTCCTGTGTATATCACACCACGCGGAGTGTGATTTACACAGTGGGCCGGCAATGCGTAAATCACACCGGGGTGTGATATACACAATGTGCTCCTAGTGTGTAAATCACACCCGGGTGTCAAACCACGCAGCACCTGGGTGTGATTTACACAGTAGGCCCGGCAAATGCGTAAATCACACCGTGGTGTGATATACACAATGTGCTCCTAGTGTGTAAATCACACCTGGGTGTCAAACCACGCAGCACCTGGGTGTGATTTACACAGTAGGCCTAGCCAATGTGTAAATCTCACCAGGGTGTGATATACACTGTGTGCTCGGTAGTGGGTAAATCACACCTGGGTGTCAAACCACGCAGCACCTGGGTGAGATTTACACAGTAGGCACGGTAACAAGACACTTAACCAAACCTTAGACCTGACCTGACCTGACCTAACCTAACCTAACCTAACCTAACCTAACCTAACCTAACCTAACCTAACCTGACCTACTGATTTTTGCCTACCCGTGGATGAGGAAGAAGGTACTCGCATGAAGAGATTGCAAGCAATGGTAAGTCAAATATTTTTAGGTTAAGTGGTTGTGCATCAGGCTTCAGGCCTTCGGCCTGAAGCCAGATACACAACCACTTAACCTAAAAATATTTGACTTACCATTGCCTGTAATCTCTCCTAAGGCATTGCCTTCGGCACTGCACCGCTTCGCCACGAGCATTCAGACGTCGCTTTCCATATTGTATTGGTGCTTTTAAACTTGTCGGTCGGCAGCGAACCCACCGCTACCAAGGAAAAGCGAAAATGCGGGAAAAAGCGCCCGCACCGACGGGACTCGAACCCGCAACATTCGTATCATGGTGCAAGCACCTTCACCACTAGGCCAGGCGGTCAGCTGATTCCGAGAGAGAGGACGCCCGGAATCCCGCCGGAATATTCGTAGTGCTTAGTCTGATCTGACCAATGGGCGAGCAGAGTCACTGCTCTGACCAATGGACGTTCAGCGTTGCTATGACGTCACATCGTGGTGAGATATACACACAGCTGCCCTCTCTGTGTATTCCTCACGCGTATTTACAAATTGCAACCGAGCTCCGCCGTGGGGTAAGGTGGGCAGGGGTTTTCGCACTACGGCTGCGGTTGAACTACCGTCTGTGGTAGAAACTTCAGGACGATGGCGCGTTTCATACGAAATCTGGCGCAATGTTTGTTTGCTTCTGAACTTGTACTGTTATTGCTGTGAATTCTTGAAGTGGGAGTGTTTCAATAACAATTTGTGATTATTTGAGTTTCTTTATATAAACATAGAATAGTATTATGAAACATTGTGTGGAAACTGCAAATACTGATATGATCAATTACTTAGTTTGGGAATTGATACACATTTTGTAGAGATTTGTCTGGCAAATGGTGTAACAAACCTCAAGCCTATCATGATCTGAAGCTGTTGTAACAAATCAAAATTGCTTTGATGTTACATAGTACCTTGTTGGAAAGACTGGAGCATGGTTCAAGATGATGTGTAAAAATTCAAGATTTGTGCGAAAGCTTGTGACTGAAGATCGAAAACAGTTTTGTATGATGGCTCAATCAAACGTGGAAAATGGAAATGGACGACAAAAGTAGAGTTTCAACGTTCCGACATGTGAGAATAACTTCAGAACTTCATAGTTCTTGTAGTATTGCATTCTCCTTATGTACATTTCCAGGTTTTGTTAGGGTATTTCAATTTCAATGTGTCAGTTGAGATATAGATGGATTGCGGACAAAATTTAGAATCATTGCATGGTAGATAGGTACTTGTTCAGTAAAAAGGTATGTGATGAATGCCATGAGAATGTTTTTTATGATTCAGTATATGTATGGTCGTTGCTCAGCTGTACCTACAAAAATGCAAGCTTACTAGCAACTAGTTTCTGAATCAAATCGAAAGTATATTTTGCCATGAATGTAAATATGTACCTGCAAAGTATGTCAATAAATTTGTGTGATGTTGGCCAGAGAGTTTTATCATCTGGGCATTTATGTCGCTTCTTACATTAGGAGTTAAGCATAGTAATTACGGATGAACTTTGTGCCAATATGTTCAATGCGCAATGTATGTAGCATGTCTACGACCCTCACTGATCCTGCTATAGCTATAGGCATTTGGCACCAGCTTGACCAAGGGCATGAACTTCACAGTTGCACAACCTTTTGTCATGTACCACCAGTCACTTTTTTACTTAAGGTGCACATAGCACTGCAGTGCACACAACAATGTGCAGAGGGCCTACACAAAAAACAACATGATTAGTGTGCACTATGCACAGCATTGTACCCTGATTATTTGAATATTTTGATCACTCAACAGTCAGCAGTCAGGAGATAATTATTGAATATCACATTTATTATACATCACTTGTCAAACAAGAGCATGATGACACACATTTTGACAGGCAATCATGGTAGTATTCCAATAAGTTGGACAGTCACCTCCCTGGGCGTCATTTTTCCAGGAAGGTACCTCTGCAGGTGTTGTGATTGGCTAGGTTGAATTGGGTTAAGTTAGGCGAAGTAAGGTGGTTAGGACCAGGTCAGACCGTAAGGCCTGGTCAGGTTGATTTTAATCTTTCATTCTAATTTGACATAGATACCCATTACCTATGTTTTTGCTCAAGCCTGAATTTCATTAGGTAATGAGTTAATTTTGCTTTGTTTTTATCTGTCTTGTTTTGTGTTTTTGTCCCTTATATTTTGCCCCATAGGCAAGGGTGGAGCTTTTCCAGGGAAGGTGGTGGAGCATGATTGGAGGCGCTCAACCAGACGGCATAGGAGGGCACGGTTTCTGAACGCGCACTGATGCCTGATTCAAGCCACGCTGTCTTCATGCGGGGCGGCGCGCTACTTAAAAGTCCCTAAAAGAACGGGAAGTGATGCCGATAGAACCTTCAATCATTCTGGGCTAACGCTTATGACTTGGAAAAAGTCCGAAAACCTGTCGGCTCTTGTTCAGCAGGAGGTGTATGAAGGGCCACCCGCCATAAGCACTGCTCAACCGCAGGCACAGGTTTAGACGGTGTTGGTCCGTATCAAAGCCAGTGTGGTGGAGAATCCATTGGCTGAAATGCTCCAGAACATTCATCACTGTGTTTTTATGAAAGGTGGCTACAAGCTCAGTTAAAAGAAAAAGTACCAGATTGTTTTGCTTTTTAATTATGCAGCGGGAAGAAAGGTGTCCGGATAATTTCGTTACACCCCCTGTAATGTTCAAATGGTTGCTAAATTCGAAATCAGCTCCAAAAACTAGCCTAGTAACATGTAAAACTCGAAAAAGGAATCGAGGTCATCAAAGGTCATTGAGCTGACCTGACCTTCAGGTGACCTTGACACACACCCTAATGCATGGGACCAGCATCATATCACATGTTTCAACGCTTGAAACCACGTGAAAACTGCAACCGCGCGGCTACTGCGAGCCGACATACGCCGAATCGCGATTCGGGCCAAACATGGTCTCGAAAAATAGGTCACATGTCAAAGGTCAATTGGGTCAGGGTCATGAAATTTTCAGGGTAGGTGTAAAATTGATAAAATCGGGGGCATTGAAAGTTTCGTCGCGATCGGACGGTTTTTACGCGAGTTACTCACGAAAAACCGATGAAGCGCACCCAAAAGGCAGAAATATGCACATGCGATATCCTATACTGCGAAAAAAAGGTGCATCATTTTTTAACGTCGCCGACAAATTGTAATTACCCTAAGCTCAGGCAGATGTATGGTAGAAAATCCCCCAAGTGAAATACACTACGGCGGAAATAAAATACCCTACGGCGGAGCTCGGTTGCAATTTGTAAATACGCATTCCTCACCCGGGTGTGATTTACACTACGTAGTAGATTTTGTGTATATCACACCGGGGTGGGTGTGATTTACACAAATGGCCGGTATTGTGTAAATCTCACCGTGGTGTGATATACACGGTCCCAATAAGGAAATAACCTAAACGTATTAGCTGCGTCATATCTGTCTATGAGTGTGTATGAAAAATCGCAAAGCTCTAGAATCCGAGAAATAATCAAAAGATAGCGCATTTTTGCTTATGCTTTTGTCTTGCTACAGCATCAGACAAAATCCAAATGCTACTTTTCAAAATAAGCACTTGATGCTTATATTGATTGATTGATTGATGCCAACTAAAAAAATTGAGGATTGAATGTTTGACCAGTCAATGAAAATATTTCCATCTGCACCTCATTATCCATCTGCACCTTTATTTTGAATCCTTATTTCGGGACATTTTTCCCAGTATCGCAAACTTTTGACGACTTTTTATGATAACGAACGCAATTGTTCCTCTTATCTGTAAGAATCTTGCCTCTTACGCTATTCGCGGGGTTGACGTAAATTCAAATTTTTGTTTTGTAATTACGACGCTATTTATAGTCCATCATATTTTGTGTGGTATACTGAGATTTATTGTGTTGTATTGCGCTTGTTGTGTATATTGTGTTCGCCCAACTCGTGACGTCTCGGTTGCACCATCCAAGGCTACCTATATACCAGTAAAACGCCTTTTTGTTTTGGGGCGACCAGCGGAGCGAGCAAGAGGGTGGGCCATGCACGTGTGAAAATTGTGAGGGGTTACCTGCAACTAACTTGTGCACTGCACCCTACTAACCCTGCACCCTACACCCTACGGCCTACTGCACCCCTGCACCCTTGCGATGTGCCAAATTTGAGCACAATCGGCCCACCCGTTCTTGAGATCTGGAAGCGGCACCCTGCACGTATGAATGCGCGAAATGGGTCCCAACTGACTTTTGCATGACACCCTACTAACCGTTCCCTAACCATATACCAAATTTCAGCGCAATCACTTCAGCCGTTTTCAAGATCTGGAATCGACCCCTACACGTGCAGCCCACCGCTAAAGTAATGTAGGGTTTTACCAATCTCAACGGTTGGCTCTGACTGGCGATTGTTTAATGCGGAGTGATCGAAAAGAAGATGTCAATAGCTAAAGTTGCAGCTGCAAGGGTGACGATACATATAAGCTACATTCAAAGTTTCATTGTAGTCTGGTTAATCGTTCCTAAGCTTCAGAAGCAGAACATACCCATGACTGAAACCCCACATTACTTCTGCTGTGGACTGTACATGCGTGCAGCAGCACCCCCACTGTGGTATATAGATATGCATTGCCTAGTGGGTGCCTACCTACATGCCAACTTTCAGGGCCATCGGCCCAGTAGTTACCAAGATATTGCAATTGTTACAAAACTGACGCCTCTTCTTTTTGCACGTGGCACGTGCATAAGGGTTCACTCACATGCATTGGGAATAGTCCAATACTTGTAGAAGGAATGAAGCTACCCTACAAAAATTACCGCGTGTAAATCAGTCAAGTGACTGCTGAGATATAAGCCTCGCAAAAGCATCCGCACGGCCGGCCGGCCGCTCGCGTAGCAAATCCGCCGCTGCCCTAGCGGTGACCTTGACCTCCGCGCCTCCGCGGTCTGTTGCGGCTCCAAAGCCAAACCACCGGTTTGAAACCGGTGTCGAATTTGGAGAGCTCGGGCCCTCCCAGCTCGGCACAAAGTTCCACCTGGCGCCTATGTACATGACCCTGATGTAAATGACCTTTGACCTGTGACATACCTACTTTTCGAGACCATGTTTGGGCGGAATCGCGATTCAGCGCATGTCGGCTCGCATTAGCCGCGCGTTTGCAGTCTTTTCGTGGTTTCAAGTGTTCAAACATGGATATAATGGTGGTCCAATGCATTAGGGTGAGTGTCAAGGTCACCTGAATGAAGGTCAGGTCAGGCCATTGGCCTTTGATGGCCTCGGTTCACTTTTCCGAGTTTTACATGTTTCCAGGCTAGTTTTTGGAGCTGAATTCGAATTTAGCAACCATTTGAACATTTACGAAGTAGTTTTACCTCACGAAGGGTCATTTTCCTAACATGTTACGAAGCTGTCAGAGGCGGTTGACACCAACTACGAATACCCGGCAGGACTCCTACTGGTTGACCTGACCTGACCTTACCGGGCCTGGCCTAAATGCATGAAGACATCATCTGTGATCAAAACTAACATGATATTCGTGATCAGCACCCCGAAAAAAACCGCAGCAGCCACACTTTATGACGTTCTAACAGGTCCCGATTTTCCCGACTTTTGGGTCATTGACCTGACTTGGAAGGTCAACCAATGACCTAGGACCTTAAAATTGGGTATCATCGGCCTCCTCACGTTACGGGCAACACTGCTGGTTTTTTCTGCGAAGCTCTAGCTCGATCAGGGGCCAAACGGGAAGTGTGGGGGTGGGGGGGAGGGGGAGGTCCAACGCCCACCCCCTTATACCTTTTCGGTTTGCAAAACACCAATACGGGCAGGGGTTAAGTCTCACTTATGCCCAGGTATTGAAATAAGGAGGCTCTTGAGCAATTTTTCAGCCCACATGCATGACAAACTATCTAGTGACCCAAGAATTGTTGTTGCTTGGCAAGTTGTGGTTAGGGACATGCTCATTAGCAACAATAGGTATTTAATAAGATTCTGCATGTTTCAGTAAATCCAACAATTTAGTTTTGTTGTTGTGAATTTTCTAGATGATAGACATACTTTCCTGTATTTAATTTATGCGTTTTCCCTCAGGTACTCTGTAAGCCACTGTGCCAGTCGCCGGCTCAGCTGCTACGATGGACGTAGAGGCGCTGAGGGCCGTGGTGCAGCGCTACCTGCGCTCCCACCTGCTGGACGCCGCCTGTTACTGGGCCGACAAGGTGTGCTCGCTGTCGGGCGACGCGCCGCAGGACCTGGTGACGCTGGCCCACTGCTACCTGCTCACCTCTCAGCCGCAGCGGGCCGTGCAGCTGCTGCGCCGCTCGGGCCGGCTCCGCGGCGACGACGAGTGCCGCTACCTGGCGGCGCGCGGCCTGTACGAGACGCGCCTGTACCAGGAGGCGCTGGCCGTGCTGCAGCCCGAGCTGGAGACAGCGCCGGGCGGGCGCGCCGCGCCGCCTCTGCTCGATATCACGGACGTGGCCGGCCGTGACGAGCCGGCGCACATCCTGCTGCTCAAGGGCCGCGTGCACGAGGCGCTGGAGAACCGCCCGCTGGCCGCCGAGTGCTACCGCGCCGCGCTGATGGCCGACGTGCTGTGCCACGAGGCGCTGGACGCCCTGGTCGGCCACCAGATGCTGACGCTGGACGAGGAGCAGAAGCTGCTGGAGGAGCTGCCGTTCGAGCAACAGCTGCCGGCCGCCGACGCAGCCGCCGTCCGGCAGCTGTACCAGCTGCAGCTGAAAAAGTACACCGCGCCCGGCGAGGCGGACGACCCGGAGGTGCCGCCGCCGCTAACCGAAAACAACGACGTGCTGGTGTGTCGCGCCGAGCAGCTCTACTACAACTGTGACTACGCGCAGTGTTTCAAACTGACCAGCCGCGTGCTGGAGCGAGACCCCGACCACGCGCGCTGCCTGCCCATCCACCTTGTGTGTCTGCTGGAGCGGCGCCGCACCAACACGCTGTTCCAGCTGGCGCACCGACTGGTGGACGCCTATCCGGAGCGGGCGCTCGCCTGGTTCGCCGTCGGCTGCTATTACTACTCCGTGGGCAAGATGGAGCCGGCACGGCGCTACCTCAGTAAAGCCACCACTCTAGACCCGGTTTTCGGACCCGCCTGGCTCGCGTACGGCCACAGCTTTGCCCTGGAGAACGAGCACGACCAGGCGATCTCGGCGTACTTCCGCGGCTCACAACTGATGCGTGGCTGTCACCTACCCCTGCTCTACGTCGGCCTAGAGTACGGACTGACCAACAACGCCCGACTGGCGCAGCAGTTCTTCAGCCAGGCGCTGGCCATCGCACCCCGAGACCCATTCGTCATGCACGAGCTGGGCACGATCCTGTTCGCCAGCCGCGACTACGCCGGGGCCGAGCGGCTGCTGACGGCGGCGCTGGAGCAGGTCCAGCACGAGTCTCACACGGTAGCTGCCGACCGCTGGGAGCCGCTGCTCAACAACCTCGGACACACCTACCGCAAACTGGGCCGCTACTCAGAGGCCCTGGAGGCGCACGAGCGCGCGCTTGTCTTGGAGCCACACAGCGCCAGCACGTACGCCGCTATTGGCTACACGCACGCTCTGATGGACGAACCGGCGCGCGCGGTAGACGCCTTCCACAAGGCGCTTAGTCTGAAGCGGGACGATGCTTTCAGCACCCAGATGCTGGGCAGTGTGCTGGAGCAGCTGCTCAGCTCTCAGGCCGTGCTGGACTCTCCCACGGCGCTACTGGTACCGATCACAGAGCGGGGCTCGCCGACACCTGTGACCCCAGTGGTAACACCGGCGGCAGCGGCGGCCGGCGGTAGCGGGGTGACCGGGGGTGGCAGCGGCAGCGCGGGCCTCTGCACCAGCCTCAGGCTAATGGACTCCAGTGACGATATGAGTTTGGAGCTGGACGATACCAAGTGACGGCGTGGTGCCTGCGAGCTGTCTGGTGTCTTGTCTTGGTGAGCTGCTGGCAAGTGACGGAGTACGAGACCGTAATCGAACGGTGATGTAGCCAAACTTGGAGCTGACCGGCGGCTTGATACCTCAACGGACACGGTATGTCGTGATACCACGGCGGCGTGATGAGCCGTGGTACAGGATGAGGGTGTCATGCGGTGTGAGCCTGTGATACGTGAGACCACACAGCGTCTCGGAGTGTCCCTTGGCAGCGTCATTGAACTGCCTGTCTGGGTGGAGCAAACTGACAACTGTGGACTGCCTGTCTCGATCGGGGGTCGTCCGTTCGGACGGCCATATTCAGGTGTTAACATTGTGTTCATGAATGTATCGCTACGCTCATGCCATCTTGATTAAATATGAAAAGTGCTATTGCTATCAAATGCAGGTGCATTATTTAATCGAGAAGTTTGACGTTATTGGGGCGCGCGGCGTAGTGTATGTTTTTTTATGCAATTTTCGTACGGACCACCAGGTGTTTAAGCAACTTATATGACACCAGTTTTTTTTTTAAGTATTTTCGTTCGTCACACCAGCGCTAACCGCTGTTGCCGTAGAGAGCCAGCATCGTCGGGGTTGGATCACTGATTTATCTGATCTCACCTCCAGCTTCCCATTTTCAGCACTGCCACCGCCTCGTGAACCGGGCTCGCCTCCGAGCTTGGCGGCGGCTGATTTTGGCATTAGAACTACCCTGAACTAAATCTCAATGAGTTTCATCCTCGTGTTGAAAATAAGCTGTTAGATAGTATATTAAAAATTGCGAGAGATAATGAGAAGTGAGAAGGTAAGGGACAATTTAGTAGTGCCACCAAATCCCTGTATTTCACGGGATGCTGAAAAGCCATCGACTGGAGCTGGTGGGTCTAGGTTCGGGTATGATAAAACGCTGTTTAGAGATACGCCCTTCGAAGAGTAGTATCAGCTGTCAGCGCCGTCTAAGGAAGACGGTGCATGCCAGCCTTTATGTCGCTGACAGCGTCATCTGCAGCAGTAACCGTACGCAGCGCCATCCATAAGCGTAGGAACCATGGGTGCAAGGGTGCAGCTGCACCCACAATATTTATCCAGTGGGTGCAGACAATGTATTTTGCACCCACAATAATCTGAACCAAAAACCCCTTTTTCATCAACACTACTTCCCATGCAGCACGGCAAATTCAGGATATGTTGCCTACTATCCATCTTTCGAAGCATTTGCTACTGTGATCAGTGATGGTCTTCAAAACTTACATTTGTGCTGAAAAAGGGAAATGGAGCATGTGATTGAACACATACCGAACCGATGACCCACTGTCAAAAATTTTAGCCCGATATCTTCGAAAATGGCTAAGTTGGCCGCTTTTACTTTTTGCGGTAGTCAATATTGACAATATTAGCCCTCGAATGTGTGCAGCGTTTTCCAGCTTCTAATGTGTAGGGGGAGGGGGAGGGGGGTCGGTCGGACCTCACTCAATATACCCTGGGTCGGACCCCCTGCCGTTCGGCCCCTGATCGAGCTAGAGCTTCGCAGAAAAAACGAGGGTGTTGCCCGTGACAAGAGGAAGCCGATGATACCCAATTTTAAGGTCCTACTTCATTGGTTGACCTTCCAGGTCAGGTCAATATTCCAAAAGTCGGGAAAATCGGGACCTGCTAGAACTGCGTAAAGTGAAGCTGTTATCGGGTTTTTCGTGGTGCTGATCACAAATATCTGATGTTAGTTTTGATCACAGATGATTTCTTCATTCATTTAGGCCAGATCGGGTCAGGTCAGGTCAGGTCAACCATTAGGCGTCCTACCGGCTATCCATAGTAGATGTCAACTACCACTGACGGCGTCGTAGCATGTCACGAAAGCACTTAAACTACTTCGTAAACGTTCAAATGGATGCTAAATTCGAAATCAGCCCTACAAACTACCCTATAAACATGTAAAACTCGAAAAAGTGAACCGAGGTCATCAAAGGTCAATGACCTGACCTGACCTTCAGGTTATCTTCACACCCACCGTGATGCATGGGAAGAACATCATTTCACATGTTTGGATGTCTACAATCACAAAAAGACTGGAAACGCGCGGATAATGTGAGCTGACATACGCCAAATCGCGATTCCGGCCGAACATGGTCTCGAGAATCAGATCACAGGTCAAAGGTCTTTTGGTTCAGGGTCATGAAATTTTTAGAGTAGGTGTAAAACTGATCAACTCGAGGGTACTAAAAGTTTCATCGCGATCGGCCGCTTTTTGCGTGAGTTATTTGCGAACAACCATGGGGGGGGGGGGTTCATCCGACCCCCCTACACATGCGAGGGTCAATGCTTCCAAATGCAGTTATCGGTTGGTACCTTTTCGACATGGTACACCCTCAAAGCTCGTAACGAGCCTTCGCTCGGGTGTCGCCCCCCCCCCCCGCTTCACCGGCCATGGCTGGATTTCTGCACCCATGCACCCACAATGTTCCAGCCGTTCCTACGCCCATGGCGCCATCTACAATAATCGTATCTCCAGACCAGGGCACTAAAGAGTCTGGAGAGTCTGGAGGCTCCAGACTTCTGTTCTTTAGGCTCTTTGTCTTGGGCCAAGAAGCGACGCGCGATGGGAGGCGTTCGTAAGAGCATCAAACGTTATTTCAAAATTGCATTAGTCATTTTTTATGTCAGGACAAACATTAGGTCATCAGAGGTCATCAAGGTCAAAGTTCGCTTGTTTTGATGATTTCCGATAAACTTTCCAGGGATGCGGAGCTTTGGAAATTTCAGATGGCTCCGGCCCCGGTTCTGGGTGAAATGTTATGGCGGCTCCGACTCCTGCTCCGGCTGCGAGTAAAATAGTCTGGCTCCGGCTCCGACTCAGTACATCCCCTATGCGATCAATAATACGGGTTGCCAAAACCACGCCAAAACAACGACCGTCACCACTCACCTGATGACCGGTCCTCAGGTTCTGGGGATGCAGTATAGACGTGACGTGGGGAGAGAGGAGCAGACAGGAGGTTGATTGCGTAGGTACTGTGGGACAATGGGGATAGGTACGTATCAGCTTTTTCATTCACGTGATGGCCCATGACGTACCACATGTTTTACTGCGTTGTACTGTTAAACCGAACTATGTCAATTATTTTTTTTCTACTCTTCAAAAAAAAAAACCCTAGTCATTATAGAGTAAAGAGTTTAGTTTAGTGGCCGTAGACCGTAGTCTTTCTTTGACGGCTCCGACTTCGGCCCTGGCTCCGGGCTATATTGTTTCACGGCTCCGGCTCCGGGCGAAATGTGCCGGGCAGCCGGCTCCGCGGCGGCTCCAGCTCCGGCTCCGGCTCCGGCTCCACACCCCTGGTCACTTCTTTCTAGGTATAGGTATAATATTCCCCGATTCGACCGAAGCCTGCAGAGGCAAAACTGCCTAAATTGATATGTTTCGGAAACGTTCATTTCTGCAATAACTCTTGATTCCAAACTTGCACTAGCTGAATAACCATAAATTTCGATTTAACCCTATAACCTACTGGTGGGCTTTCTGGACTACGTGAACTGGTGGGGGGGGGGCGGGGGGGGGGGGGGGGGGGGCGATTCGGCCCCCCTTGATATCTCGAAAACTAAACGTCCGATCTAAAATTCCGAAATTATTGGCAGGGTTCCTCGGGCCCTATTAATCCTATACAAAACGACAGCCATGTTACCTTTGGCAGAAATTAGGTACCTACACTTTGACACTTTATGAGCCGATGGACCATGTGGTGACGCTACTGATATAGCTCTAAGCTCTAATATTTATACCAATAGTTCTAACATTTCAGGACATATTAGGTGATATTGAGGTTAATATTAGATAAATACGGTATTTGATAAAGTAATCACCGGTGCAAATAGACCGGACCTACCTTGTGAAGGTGAAAAGCGGCGGATGACGGTGGTGCCGACGCCTTTCGGCTTTCTCTGCAGTCCCCAGACGGGTGGCGGTGGATGACGGTAGTGATCTTTCTCCTCTGCTGCTGCTGTCGTCTGCTCTGATGGCTCTCGGAGCCCACTGCTGTCGGTGCTCGTCGCTTGAGTCCGGAGCCAAGTGACTCAAACCGGGCGCCTCCAAATTCCCATGGCCGGTGGAGCTCCGCCCACATTCCTTAAGCCGGCCGTTCATTGGCAGAACACCGAATGCCCCTTGACGTCACAGACGATGAACGTCGCTGATTGGCGACGCCCGCCCCGGATGTGCGCGCAGTGGGCGGAGCATCGCCTCGCCGGTCACCCGGATGAACTCAATGGAACGTACTGAAGATGGCGCTCAGATCACCTATTTTCTTAGGACCGAATTAGTGATGTCAATTAGGTACGGAAAATCGTGATACCGATACCAAACCAAATACCAACAACATCCATGGAAAAATACCGAAACCAAACCGACTTGGGAAAATGAGGAAAATACCAACTTTTTACCAAATTCTCAGCCCCTTTTACATTAGAAAGGGTTCATAATACCTACCAACAAAATACCAAATGCACGCGCCTTGAAATACCAAATACCAATTTGGTATCGGTTTGGTATTGGTATACCAAAAAGTTGGTATCCGATTGACATCTCTAGACCGAATGTCAAATTCAGACTCACTACGAAGTTACCAACCCAGAGCTCATCAGGCAAATATTTGATATTTCACCCTTGCCCCCCTCCCCCTCATGTGGCATGGAATGTCATTTTGAGTCGCCGACGCCGGCCGTTTACAAACGCTCCGTCTGCGGGTCTCTCGGCGTGACAGGACCGCCGCCCGCCGGTACAGTGTGGGTCGCTCGGTCGCTTCCCTGACACGCTGGGTCGCTCCCCTGTGCCTTTCACATGGTCAGTGGAGTGCAGTTCAGGTCAGGTAGGCCGATCACCGACCTATTCAGGGATTAGGTAGGCGATCGGAGGGAGCGCGCACATCTGCGGGGCGTCTGTCGGGACGGCGAAGACGTTTGGCGCCTCTAATGGCCAACCGGTCCAGTCTGATTCCCTACCCGTCGACTACACAGGGGGCCGACACGGTCCCTTCCGGGTCGGCGGGCGCTGTCACCCCCTCCCCGCGGTAGGGGAACGACCAGCGGCCAGAGTCAGCCCCCTTCCCCTGCAGGACGCTAGACCACCCCGCTACTCGGTCAGGGATTACTCAGACACCTGCGGCGGCAAAGTGCCACTGGGGCGCCGATATGTGACCCTCCAATTATCCCAGACCGGCCTACCGTCCATCAGCCGTCGACTTAGGGCGTGCCGTCGGACGACTGAGCACTTATTGGAAAAGCTAGGTGTCGGGCACCTCACCCGTTTGTCTGGTCATTAGCTGGCCATGGTGTTTGGAGTGGTCAAAGAGTAGGTAAATCAAAACGATTGAAAGCTAGGTGGCCGGACTTCGCCGCTCTGGCCTAGTGAGTTATCGGTATATCTGTTTAT